GGGGGGGGAGGGAAATGGGACACCTGTAATACTCTCAACAATAAAGATAAATTAAAAAAAGAAACAGGTCCAGAAATAACAGATATGATGGACTTAGACAAACATGTTACACAAATATTATAAATGTGCTCGAGAATATAAAATCAAAACAAAGCAGGTATGATGAGAAGGGAAGTGAAAAACATAAAAAAAGGCTCAAAAGGAACTTCTAGGGAAGAAAAATACAATAACAGAAATGAAAACTACAATGGCTAGGATTAACAGCTACTTTAGATCCCTTGGTTTTCCAAATAAATTTTAGTATCAGCTTCTCAATACCTACTTTTTTTGAAACCTGCTTGAATTTTTATTAGGATGGGAATGATAGATAAGGTACTACAGAAGGAAAGATCAGTGATCTTGAAGACACAGCAATAGAAACTATCCAAAATGAAGCAGAGACTGAGAGAAAGGGAAAAAAAGAGCAGTCTCAGTGGCCTGGGGAATATCACACTGTCTAACATCTGTGTAACTGAAGTGACATGAAGGGAAAGAGGAGAGAGAAAAAAGTGTAATGAAAGAATGGCTGAGATTTATCCAAATTGATGAAAACTACAAGCTCATACATCCAAGAATTTTAATGAACTCCAAGTACAAGAAATATAAAGAAAACCACTTCTTAGAAATGCTTTGTAGTTTTCAGTGTACAGATCTTGCCCATATTTTGCTGCATTTATCCTTAAGTATTTCATGTTTTTAAGATTTTTATTTTAGAAGTTTCAATTACAAATTATTTCTTGTTAGTAAATAGTAATACAATTAATTTTTGCATAGTGACTATATCCTGATTTTCGTGAATATGAGACTTATCCAAATGAAGAACTAAAATTACAAAACTTTAGAAGGAAACACAGGAGAAAATATTCATAACCTTGGTAAAGCAAAGATTTTAGGACACAAAAAGCATGACAAATACAAGAAAAAACTTGATAATTTGAACATCATCAACATTTCAAAATTTTGTGCTTCAAAAGACAGTTTAAGAAAATGAAAAGACAAACCACAGACTGGGGAGAATGTGTCTGTAAGATGTACACCTGATAGTAGACCTGTTTCCAGAATATGTGTATAACTCCTACAAGTTAATAAAAAAGAAGACAAACATCTGGGTTTAAAGAGTGAACTAAACATTTGACACTTTATAAAGATGTACAAACAACAAATGAGAACATGAAAATATGTTCAATATCATTAGTCTTTAGGGAAATGCAAATTAAGAGCACATTAAGATACCACTATACACCCACTAGAACAGCTAAAATTAAAAAGACTGCCAGTGCCAAATCTTAGTGAGGTTGTGGAGCAAGTGGAACTCTCATCCATTGCCGATGGAAATGCAGAATGGTACAGTAACTTGGAAAACAGGTTGGTAGTTTCTTTTGGGGGACGGATTTAAAAATATATTTTTATTAAATTTTTTTTTTTTTTTTTTTTTTTTAAGAGAGAGAAAGGGAGAGGGAGAGGGAAAGGGAGAGAGAAAGAGAGAAACATCCATCAGCTGGGCATGTGCCCTGACTGAGAATCTAACTGACAATCTTTTGATGTACTAGATAACGCCCAACCAACTGAGCCACACCAGCCAGGGCTGGCAGTTTCTTAATAGTTAAACTTAACACATACCCAGCAATCCTAGTCCTAAATATTTACCCAAAAGAGATAAAAACATATGTGCACATATTTATAGCAGTTTTCTACAAAAATAGACAAAAAGTGAAAACAACTCTAATATCAACTAGTGAATGGAAAAACAGATTGTGATATATCATAAAAGAGAGCACTACTCAGCGATAAAAGGAATTAGCTACTTACTGATACATACAACAACATGGATAAATCTCAAAAATATTATGTTAAGTGAATGAAGTAACACAGAAAAGTCTATGTATTATATGATTCCATGTATATGAAATTCCAGAAACTATAGTGGAAAGCAGATCAGTGGTTGCTGAGGACTACAAGTTGAGGGGAGGGTGTTGATGCAAAGTGGGATGAGGGAAATTTTGGGGGTAATAGAAATGGCCCCTATTTTTATTGTGCTGATGGTTATACAACTGTACACATTTGTCAAAATGTCATTGTATTCACTGTACAGGTATATTTGTGAATTTTATTGTATGTAAATTAGCCCTAAAAAATTCTTTTTTAAAAAGGTATGAATAAGCCTGGCTGGCATGGCTCAGTGGTTGAGCATCGACCCATGAACCAGGAGATCGCATTTCGATTCCTGGTCAGGCACATGCCCTGGTTGTGGGCTCCATCCCCAGTACGTGGCATGTAGGAGGCAGCCGATCAAGGACTCCCTCATAATCGATGCTTCTATCTCTCTCTCCCTCTCCCTTCCTCTCTCTGAAATAAATAAAAACATATATTTTTTGAAAAATATAAATAAGAATCATCCAAGAAGTATATTAAAATAATTCCCAATGTCATTTTTTAAAGAAATATAACAAAAAAATCGTCATATTTGTATGGAACCAAAAAAGATCCCAAATAGCCAAAGCCATCCTGAAAAATAAAGAATGAAGCCAGAGGTATTGCACTCCCTGACTTCAAGTTATACCACAGAGCAACAATAATCAAAACAGCATAGTATTGTCAGAGAAACAGACACACAGACCAATGGAACAGAACTGAGGACCCAGATAAAAAAACCACACGTATATGGGCAAATAATTTTTGACAAAGGAGCCAAAACACGCAATGAAGGAAAGAAAACCTCTTCAATAAATGATGCTGGGAAAATTGGAAAGCCATATGTAAAAGAATGAAACTAGGCTACAGTTTGTCCCCATGTACAAAAATCAATTCAAAATGGATCAAAGATCTAAATATAACATCTGAATCAATAAATTACATAGAAGAAAGCATAGGTACTAAACTCATGGACCGTGGTCTTAGAGAAGATTTTATGAATTTGACCCCAAAGGCAAGGTAAGTAAAGGCAAAAATAAATGAATTGGACTATATTAAACTAAAAAGCTTCTGCACAGCAAAAGAAACCACTACCAAAACAAAAAGGCAACCAACCAAATGGGAGATGATAGTTGTAAACAAGAGCTCTGATAAAGGTTTAATATCCAAAATATATAAAGAACTCATACAACTAAACACCAAACAAAGAAACAATCCAATTAAAAAATGGACAGAGGACCTCAACAGACACTTCTCCCAAGAAGACATTCAAATGTCCAACAGATATATATAAAAAGATGCTCAACTTTACTATTAGGAAAATGCAAATCAAAACTACAGTGAGATACCATCTCACACCTGTTAGAATGGCTGTTATCAATAAGACAAGTAACAACAAGTGTTGGAGAGGTTGTGGAGAAAAGGGAACCCCCATTCGCTGCTGGTGGGAATGTAGACTGGTGCAGCCACTATGGAAAACAGTAGGGAGGGTCCTCAAGAAATTAAGAATAGAGTTGCGGTATGACCCAACAAATCTTCTGGGCATCCACCCGAAAAACTTGAAAACATTTATTCGCAAAGATATATCCACGCCTACACTCATTGCTGCATTATTCAGGGTGGCCGAGACATGGAGACAACCACGGTGTCCTTCCATAGAGGACTGGAGAAAGAAGATGTGGTGCACGTATGCAATGGAACGCTTCTCAGCTGTAAGAAAGGATGAAACACTGCCATTTGCGACATGGATGCACCTTGAGAATATCATGCTAAGTGAAATAAGTCAGTCAGAAAAAGCTAAGAACTCTATGATTTCACTCATATGTGGGATATACAACTGAAGCTCATAGACACAGACAACAAACAGTACGGTGGTTGCCGGAGGGAAGGGGGGAGGGGGGAGTAAAGGGTAAGGGGGCCAAATACATGGTGACAGAAGATGACTTGACTTTGGGTGGCGGGCACACAATACATTATACAGATTATGTCTCACAGAAATGTACACTTGAAACGTATGTGATCCTATTAACCAATGTCACCCCAATAAATTTAATAAAAATAATACATACCTACATACATAATAAAGGACTAGCAACCTGGGGGAGGAAAAACAGTTAAAAAAGGCATGAATAAGAATCATTCGAGAAGTATGTTAAAATGCGTGCTCCTGGGCCTCACTCAGAGCATCTGCTTTGGAAGGTCTCAGGTGAGGCCTGGAAATCTAAATTTTCAAATACTAACGTCGAATTAAAAGAAGTGTCATGAAAAAGAAAAATTAGAGAAAAGAAGGGCATACATTTTTATAAAATGTGACTAAGAAAAAATACCAGAAGGAAATCCTTTAAAATGCCTGGAATAGTCTGGAGAGCTGGGTGGGATTATGAATGATTTTTTTCTCCTGTATTGTTTGTTTCAAAAAATGTTACATTTAAATGGGAAATAAAAGCAACCCTCTCTCTCCTACATTTCTGATAGAAATGGAATAATCTAAATACCTTCTCACAAAGGCCCTGACCCTGAATCCCGCTGCCCCACTCCCACCCTCCTCAGGCCCTGTCCCTCTCCTACCCTCTTGAGGCTCCTCACTTGGTCCATCTCCAGTTTGGTCAGTAGGCTCACAAACCACTCGAAAGACGGCTGGTCTCGGTTGATCCAGATGAAGTCCGCCTAGGGAGAGGGGCCCTTTGGTTCTGAGGTGGGGCCTACCTCGTGCACAGCACGCTCATGTCTGTGATAGCCAAGGCCTATATGAGCACCTTGGTGTGAGCAGGGCACACATTATTTACAGAGGGGAAACTGAGGCTCACATAGGTGAGGAGCCTTCACCAGGTCACAAAGCATCATGAGACCAGAGCCCAGGATTTTCTGTAATAACCTATTGTTACAGCAAATAGTGTTCTGAGATCCTAAGAATAGGACAGCCAGTAAAACATAACTTATTATTATTATTCTTAATCCTCACCTGAGGATTATTGATTTTTCAGAGAAAGAGAAAGGGAGGGGGGGAGANGCAAATAGTGTTCTGAGATCCTAAGAATAGGACAGCCAGTAAAACATAACTTATTATTCTTATTCTTAATCCTCACCTGAGGATTATTGATTTTTCAGAGGAAGAGAAAGGGAGGGGNTATTATTATTATTCTTAATCCTCACCTGAGGATTATTGATTTTTCAGAGAAAGAGAAAGGGAGGGGGGGAGAGAGAGAGAGAGAGAGAAAAGTGATGTGAGAGAGAAACATACACCAGTTGCCTCCTTATGTGCCCAGACTGGGGGTCAAACCTGCAACCTAGGTATGTGCCCTGACGGGGAACTGAACCTGCAACCTTTTGACAACACTCCAACCAACTGGGACACCCAACCAGGGCAACGTTACCTATTTTTAAAGAAATTCTTTGAAGTGGCCTAGTCAAAATAATAAATTTTCAAAAGGCAAACATTTTCATTTTTAAACCACCACCAGGTGAAGGCTAGTAAGCATTGCTGCTATAAAGGAATCCAGGCCGCCTGATTTTCAAGCTCCTTGGTCTATAATGAGATGCTGTCTGCAGAATATCTCTCAGAAGTGACGAGGGTTGGTGGAAGCGGTGAGGCCTGGACACTTAGGAGACACCAGGAGAATGCGGGCCACTGGCGGAAGTGTAGGGGCCAGCAGGTCCCAGCAGAGGAGAGGCCATCTGTCCCTCCCCTACCTCTGCACAGGAGGGCCTGGCTCCTGCTCCAGGTGGTACCCCAGGAGAGGGTTCCAGGCCTGCTGTGGAAGGCCGTGCTCACCTTGTGGGGCTTCATGTCATCTTCCTGGAGTCCCTCCATCCAGGAGTGCTGGCAGCTGGGACAGATGTGCTTTCTCTTCTGGTACCTGAGGGGAGGCAGGAGCAGGAGTTTTGAATTTGGGGTGAATCAGGGACTTTTCAGGATCTCGGAAAACAGTGCAGGGGACAGGGGGGAGAGTGGGGTGACAGACCCACTCTATGAGGAAGGAGAGGGATGAGACCCANCATGTCTGTGATAGCCAAGGCCTATATGAGCACCTTGGTGTGAGCAGGGCACACATTATTTACAGAGGGGAAACTGAGGCTCACATAGGTGAGGAGCCTTCACCAGGTCACAAAGCATCATGAGACCAGAGCCCAGGATTTTCTGTAATAACCTATTGTTACAGCAAATAGTGTTCTGAGATCCTAAGAATAGGACAGCCAGTAAAACATAACTTATTATTATTATTCTTAATCCTCACCTGAGGATTATTGATTTTTCAGAGAAAGAGAAAGGGAGGGGGGGAGAGAGAGAGAGAGAGAGAAAAGTGATGTGAGAGAGAAACATACACCAGTTGCCTCCTTATGTGCCCAGACTGGGGGTCAAACCTGCAACCTAGGTATGTGCCCTGACGGGGAACTGAACCTGCAACCTTTTGACAACACTCCAACCAACTGGGACACCCAACCAGGGCAACGTTACCTATTTTTAAAGAAATTCTTTGAAGTGGCCTAGTCAAAATAATAAATTTTCAAAAGGCAAACATTTTCATTTTTAAACCACCACCAGGTGAAGGCTAGTAAGCATTGCTGCTATAAAGGAATCCAGGCCGCCTGATTTTCAAGCTCCTTGGTCTATAATGAGATGCTGTCTGCAGAGTATCTCTCAGAAGTGACGAGGGTTGGTGGAAGCGGTGAGGCCTGGACACTTAGGAGACACCAGGAGAATGCGGGCCACTGGCGGAAGTGTAGGGGCCAGCAGGTCCCAGCAGAGGAGAGGCCATCTGTCCCTCCCCTACCTCTGCACAGGAGGGCCTGGCTCCTGCTCCAGGTGGTACCCCAGGAGAGGGTTCCAGGCCTGCTGTGGAAGGCCGTGCTCACCTTGTGGAGCTTCATGTCATCTTCCTGGAGTCCCTCCATCCAGGAGTGCTGGCAGCTGGGACAGATGTGCTTTCTCTTCTGTTACCTGAGGGGAGGCAGGAGCAGGAGTTTTGAATTTGGGGTGAGTCAGGGACTTTTCAGGATCTTGGAAAACAGTGCAGGGGACAGGGGGGAAAGTGGGGTGACAGACCCACTCTATGAGGAAGGAGAGGGATGAGACCCCAAAAAAAGAGGCTAGAGGAGCAGGGAGAAAAGAGAGAAAAGGGGAGAGGGAGACAGGTGAAAGGAGAGAAGGGAGGGAGGAAGGGGGAGAGCAGAGGGGAGGGCTCTCTTAGGACTCAGCCCCAGGCCACCCACCTGTACACAATGCTCTGCAGGATGGAAGCAAAGGGGGTGATGCCAATGCCCGCCCCGATGAGCACTGTGTCAGAGGCGAAGATTCTGCAGGTGGGGGTTCCATAAGGGCTGTCGATGGAGCACTGTGCACCGCCAGAGAGGTGAGAGGAAAGAGAGCGGTAAGTGGGCCTGGGGAGAGCTGGACCCTGAGGCTTCAGGGCCTTTTATATGCAGGCCGTTGTCTCCTGGCCTGGAACCCAGGCCTAAGTGGCTCCCACTTCTATGCTTTGAGGGTATGTCTGGGAGAGCCCTAGAATGTCAGAATGCAGAGCTAATGGGAGCAGGGCTCAACCAGCATTTCTGCGTGCACCCGGCACAGGAGAGTTTGGTTCCATTCTCTGGATACCTGGAAGTCAGCCTGTGGGAAATTAAGGGACTTGGAAAGGACTTCCCGGAGCCACTTACCTTGATGTTACAGAATTGGTGGTTCTCAGGGGACATCTCAGACACCTGTGAGGAGCACAGCAGTGAGCTGTAGGTCTTTGGGAGTGGGCATGCCAGGCATTTCTCGGAGGCTTCCTAGCCCCTGCCAGTCTGAGCAGCTTTACACAAAGGGAATTGCCTTTTCCACCCCAAGCATTCCAGGGAGCAAGGAGCCCTTCTCAGGAGGACTATCAGTGGTGTCTGGAAAACACTCTTCAAAAGCAACCGCACTCCCGATTGTTAGTGTCTGCTGACTCCTGGTGTGCATGCTGCTGTCCTGGCTCCCACCAAGATCTGTGTTTAATAACTGGCTCTCAAAATTCCTGGGAATTTAACAATCAGCTCTGTGGGCCAATACAAGTCAACTACAGAGTGTGACTGGACAGCACTCATCACAGACACATCTTCAGCTCAGTCTCCAGCCCCTCCTGATAACCGTCATGTCTCCAGACAAACCCCTGGCCTTGAACATTCTTTTTGCTCAGCAGGGAACACCCTTTCCTCTGCCCCAGCTCACGAATTCCTGTGCTTCCTCCAGTGTCCAGCTCCTTTGAAGTGGCTGTTCCTCCTTGAAGCTCTGCCCAGCTGAACCAGGCAGAAAAGCCAGTGGCTGGACTGACTCAAGGCCCCTGGGGACAGGGAGCAGGCCTGCCGGACTCCTTTGGGCCTGAGCAATGGCAGGCAGTTTTAAGGACTACATTTGTTGAGGTCAAATTCTGGAAGGTGAAGGAAGCAGACCCCCATCAGGTTACAGGGCCTTGTGGTAATTTCCTCTCTGGTGCCAGAGGCAGAGTTAGGAGTTACCTTCGTGATCACCAGGCCCACCCCTCATGTCACAGAGAGGAGCTGAGTCTGAGAGCACATCAGTGACTCTCCCAATTCTCCCAGGGCTCGAGTGGGCAGAGCCTGGGTCTCGGACACCTGTCCAGTGTTCTTCACACTCCACCACGTTGCTTCTTTGTCTGGGAGACTGAGTGCTGCGTTCCCCACGTGTTGGATGGGAACTACTTGTGGTGACTTTGGGAGGTACACTGTGAGAAGCCTACACCTTTCCAGTTTTTAATCCTTCTGATTGCAAAGAGAAAGCCTTACATTATAATTTCTATGTCTTTAACACTTACTAATCCCTCCTCTTTTTTTCCTTTTAACAAAGTGAGAGTGACATCGCAGGAGAGAGAAAGTAAAGAAAGAGGGGGGAGAGCGAGCAGACCAGTGGAGTGCGACTTCAGGCTCCGAGCCTTGGCAGGCACAAACATCTGGTGAGAGTCTAATAACATAGGTTTTCATCGCTTTTATTTTTAGAGGTACCTTCTGTTTATGACACAGGACACTGGTTCTCTGTTAACAACAGCCAACAAAAGAGGCCTTTTTAAATACAGTTAAGTTTAAAGCAATGTTGGGATGTAAAGGGAAGTGCGAGGTAGGACATATTAGCAGTGGGAAGTGAATGTGGCAGAGTTAGGAAGGTGGGACACAGGCGAGTACTGCAGAAACACCATGAAACGCAGGCTTCCAGATGCGGGACGCCCTCCGGGCCCCCTCTTCCAAGTTCCAAGGACCCGCCAGCCCTGGGAGACAAGCCACTGGCTCTCCAGCCTCCAGCCCAGCTTCCTCAGCCTTACCAGAACCCGGCTGCTGGCCGAGGCTCCCCACTGTGCCTGAGTTTCTTCCTTTGTCCCTGCGTGTGCCAGGCCTTCGTCCCGCTGCCGCGGAGCGCCGTCTGGGCTGTAGGATATCATCTCCACACGGACGCCCTTGTTGGAAGCCATTGCTCCCTGTGCCCAGGCCTCCGAATAGATGGGCTGGGATTGCAAACCCTGTTTGGGTTCAAAATGGGAATTGCTTCATTAATTTAATCATAGAATCAATACATTAGTTTTAAAAATTCAGACATTACAGAATGTTAGCGAATAAAGTGAAAAAGAACCTAGATCAGACAATATCACTCCTCTAAACATTTTCTCTCTGTCTTTCCAGATCCCCTCCTTTCCCCCCAACACACACTCTTTTACATAAATGGGACATACTGCTTTGTAACCTGACTTTTCTACTTATTATAGCTGACTAGGTTCCCTTGTTTCCCAGTGCATATCTGTTTTTAGGTGACCTATATTCCATTATAAGGGTGATCGGTAACTTATTTAGCTACTTCCCTGTTGTGGAATTTTTATTATCCTCATTTCCTCATTATTGTTAACAAATATATACAAAGAAGCTCCTTTTCCATCTCCATCCTTTACCCCAGTGATTTTCAACCTGTGTGCTGCAAGAATTTTAAAAATATGCAATACCTGAGTACTTAGTCAGGGGCACTGACCTCTTTTCCCTTAGATTGTCAAATTAAAAAATGACAACAGCTAACACAACAATAGCCATCTGGTGTGAATGCCCTGTCTTGAACCGTAAATATGTAGATTATACAACAGAGTTGCATCTTATTGGTCACGTCGCATAATAAGGTTGCATCTGATTGGTTAGTTCTTGGTACCAGAAATCTTTATATACAAACAAGTATAGGCACCTGATTTTTAAAAAGTCACTTTGGAGCAAAAAGGGGAGTAATTACTATTAATTTTTTATAAACCAATCACAATTATACCTATTTTTTGTCAGACTGGCAAAAAATATAATACATTTTTTGGTGTGCCCTGGAATTTTAGTAATTAGCTTATGTGTGCCATGAACAAAAAAGGCTGAAAATAGCGGCTTTGCCTTGATTTATTTTTCTTCATAGCATTTATCACTTGACACCGTGCCTATTTTGTTTGTTTATTGCCTGTTTCTTCAGACCATAAGCAGTGTCTAACTTGCTTGTTGATATGTCTCCAGCATCTAGAACAGTATTTGGAAAACAGTAGGTGCTGTCCTCAGTAAATGTTTGCTAAATGAATGAACGAACAAGGCAATTAATGTCCTTCTTATGCATCTGTCCAACTAGCATTTTAGGATAAATCCCTAAAAATGGAATTGCTGGGCCAGTGGGTATACATATTTAAAATGCTGACACATATGGCCAGACTGCCCAGCAGAAAGTTTGTGCCAATTTATTGTCTGGCAGAGGTGCATAAGGTCCCAAAGGAAACAAGCTTTTAACAGTTCCTGGTGTGCCATGACTCACCTAGCTTTGAAAGTTGGCTTCCTTCTTCAGGGAGCTTCCCCTGATTAACAGTAGAGAATGCTCTCTTGTTTCTACCTACCCCTCCATTTCCCAAAGCTTTGCTCTTGGCACCATTCTAGAAGGGTCTTTTGGTCTGACCAGGCAGGATTCCACCTGGTTTTTCTGCTGGACTTTAAATTCTTCTAGGGCAAGGCAGGGCTGAGCCAGGCCTGGGGGCTTCTCTTCTTTTGACCTTCAGCAGGGTTTCCACATATGAAGCTGTCTCCCAGCCTGGCAGTACAGCCTACTAAGTGTTCAGGCGACCCCAGCCTCCTTCATCTATTCTTACTTCCTCAGGTGCTGCTTTGATCTCTATGTATCCCTACCCCC